AATCAGAAAAAGTGTTTGAATCTAAATGTTTGGGTTGGCATGGTGGTTCACACCTATAGTCCCAACAGTTTGAGAGGCCGAAGCAGGAGGATCGCTTGAGGCCAAGAGTTTGAGACCAACTGGGCAACAGCATTTTTCCCCCATCTCTATGGAAAAAAAAAGTAAGTCAGCCTGGTGCTGTGGTGTGCACCTGTAGTCCCAGCTACTGGGGAGGATCCCATGTTTCCAGGAGTTCGAGGCTGCAGTGAGGCTTGATTATGCCACTGTACTCCAGCCTGGGCTAAAGAGTGAGACACTGCCTCAAAAAAATATGGTCTGGATTTAAAGGAATTGAGGACAGTTTTGTTTTTCGTTTTGAGACAGGGCTCTTTTGCCCAGGTTGGAGTGCAGTGGCACAATTATGGCTCACTGCAGCCTCAAACTCTTTGGCTCAAGCAATTCTTCCACCTCAGCCTCTTCAGTAGCTGGGACTACAGGCACACACCACCATGTATGACTAAATTTTCGTATTTTTTTGTAGAGAAGGGATTTCACTGTGTTGGCCAGCCTGGTCTCAAACTCCTATTCAAATGATCCACCAACCTCAGCCTCCCAAATGACTGGGGTTACAGGTGTGAGCCACCATGTCCAGCGAAACAAATTTTTAAATAATAAACAAAATGTTCAAGGAAATACATACACTAACATACCTTCAATAAATGTTCCTTTTAATGGGCAATGTGGCATGGAACTGTCAGAGGTAAACTTGGAAGTTTTTGCCTTTTCCACAATCAGGCAGTATATGCTATTGGGATACAGACAAAAAAGTAAATCACAATACCCACTAAGCCCTTTTGTTTAAAAAAAAAAAATGGGGACATATCACTAAGAATACCTTGCAGCAAACTGGTATCTCCCAGCAAACTTTCTACAATTCTTGAATAATCTACCTGTAGGATAAATGGCCTTGTCTTTTTTTTGGGGGGTGGGGTGGGGGGGATGGAGTATCACTCTGTGCCCAGACTGGAGTGCAACAGCACGATCTTGGCTAACTGCAACCTCCACCTCCCAGGTTCAAGTGACGTCCTGCCTCAGTCTTCCGAGTAGTTGGGATTACAGGCGCCCGCCACGATGCCCAACTACTTTTTGTATTTTTAGTGGAGATAGGGTTTCACCAGGTTGGCCAGTCTGGTCTTGAACTCCTGACCTCATGTGATCCACATTCCTTGGCCTCCCCAAGTGCTGGAATTACAGGTGTGAGCCACTGCACTCGGCTCCCTTATTTGTCATTTTGACTTTGACATCTTATTTCACTGGCTTAATAATCTAATTCTTTCAAACCAAGAACTGGCATACAAAAAGGACTGTTTTCATACCTGTAAGGTTCTCATTTATACCTAAGGGCATCAAATTCATGCCCTCAGTGCTTTAAATCCAGACCATATTTTAGTTTATTAAGTTCTTCAAAAACTAAGCCAACATAAAATTTTAACATTCCTTTTCTAGGAGACCATGGACTGTGCTCAATGAGACAGGGATATGTATATATGTGTGCAAGGGTGGGCGAGGAGGCAGGGTTCCTGGAAGGAAGGCCCATGACCTGGACCACATAACCTGCGTTGCCTTTATTGCTGTGCTCCAGGCCTGCTTTTCCAAACTTCAGACAAACCAAGGTGGTGAATGCCCTCACTTACTTACACAGTTACTGTTCTCTCTTCCTGTACCTTTGCAGGGATGGCTCAGGTCTCAGCCCCAATGAAACTCCCTCAGAGGCCTTCAATGACATCCAGTAGAAAGTGACCAACCCCTCCTTATGCCACCCCTCAGGGTCACGTTCCATTATACCACCCTATTGTCAAAGCAATAATCATTAAATTATTTTCCTATTTATTGTGCTTCTCACATTAGAATGTTATCTTCCAAAGGAGCAGGAGCCTTGGAACCTTGTCGAGCTTGTTCATAACTGCATCCCCAGGGCCTAGGTCAGGATTTGGCACATAATAAGTAAATGAACAACTGGATGAATGAACTGGTTTTATTTTTATTTTTATTTTTTTTTTGAGACGGAGTTTCGCTCTTGTTACCCAGGCTGGAGTGCAATGGCGCGATCTCGGCTCACCGCAACCTCCGCCTCCTGGGTTCAGGCAATTCTCCTGCCTCAGCCTCCTGAGTAGCTGGGATTACAGGCACGCACCACCATGCCCAGCTAATTTTTTGTAGCTTTAGTAGAGATGGGGTTTCACCATGTTGACCAGGATGGTCTCGATCTCTTGACCTTGTGATCCACCCGCCTCGGCCTCCCAAAGTGCTGGGATTACAGGCTTGAGCCACCGCGCCCGGCATGAACTGGTTTTAAAAATCATCAAGATAATACCAAGTGTGGTGAGAATGTAGAGCAGCCACAACTCTCATTCAATGCCAGGGGGCATGTACACTGGTACAACCACTTTAGATAATTGGCAGTATCTACTAAAGCTGAACATATGCATACCCTATGACCCAGAAATTCCAACACAATAGATCTGACAGAAATACATATATATCATCAAAGACATGAACCAGAATATTCATGCAGCACTATACAGCAACAAAGTCAGACCAACTACAACTGCACATGACAATGTGGGGAAAATATCCCAAAATGATACTGAGCTAAAGAAACTAGACACCAAAAGAATATATACATTGATTCCATTTGTATAAAGTTTAAAAAAAGGCAAAAGTAATCCATGTTTTTAGAATTCACAATAGCTTAATCCCAGCAGTTTGGGAGGCTTGCTTGAGGCCGGAGTTGGAGAAATCCCAATAGAAGGTAACCTGGGTAGATGAAAGGGGACACACCAGGGAGGAGAGTGCTGCTGGGATGTTGGTCATGCTTTGTTTCTTGAAACTGGGTGCTGGTTACATGAGCATGTTTTCTTTAACAACAACAAAAAAAAGTTCAAAAAATTAATCAGGAGTCCTTCTGAAGAGACAGCATAGGAGATCACAGCAGATGTCAGGCATCTTGCGTGTTACTCCACTTTCTTACCCTCCACCCAGCTTAATAATAACTATTTGCTAAATGAAAAGTAGATGTTATTTATCACTTTAAGGTGACAAGCTGATAACTTGTCCTAACTTATACAGGACGGCACAGCCTTAACTCAAACCCCAAACAGCCAGATTCCACTAACTGTGCTCTTAACTACTTCACCTTATGACCCTGTGTGAAACTGGATAATGTTAATATGTAACTGAGAACTTGTGTTTGGTGTACTTATTACAATAAATCAGGCTTCCCAGCCACCGACTGAGCATTGTGGATTGGGCCTCAGTTTGCTTACCCACAAAATGGAGAGAATAGAATCTTCCTTTTATTCAACCAATGTTTATTAAGTACCTATCCTGTGCCAGGTACTATTTTAGGATAATGGAAGATTAAGTGAGAAAATACAAAATGATAAATCCACTTTCCCACTACCGAAATCTCTTGTGTTTATTTGTAAGGTACAGTGGTTTTTTTCTTTTTCTTTTTTTTGAGATGGAGTCTCCCTCTGCCACTCAGGCTGGAGTGCAGTGGCATGATCTCGGCTCACTGCAACCTCTGCCTCCCGGGTTGAACGATTCTCCTAACTCAGCCTCCAGAGTAGCTGGGACTACAGGTGTGCGCCACCAGGGCCCGGCTAATTTTTTGTATTTTAGTAAGGACTGAGTTTCACCATGTTGTCCAGGCTGATCTCGAACTCCTAAACTCAGGCAATTCACCCGCCTCGGCCTCCCAAAGTGCTAGGATTACAGGCGTGAGCCACCGCGCCTGGCTGGTACAGTGGTTTTAATGAATATTATGGAACTCACATAAAATTCAAGCAAAATTTTGCATTCAATTTCGGCGTATTCACAAACCTTCTAAAGTCCACATATTGTCCTCCATTACAGTTAAAAACTGTTGCATAAGGACTGAAACCATTATGTCACATTGGAAACTCCTTTGGTATTTCCAGCCCACCTAATACAGCAGGGAAGAGGGTACTATAATTCATGTGTTACGGACAACTAGAATCGTATTTAATCATTACAGTTTCACAAGCAGACCACGATAGGAACGGTTTTTCCAATTGTCACAGCAGAAGACCCTTCAATTCCGAGGTTAGACAAGAGAGGAAAGGGGGCCACCAGACTTCTCTTCTGAAAAGAAGGTGAATGAGAGCCCAGCAGTCAGGAGGCGCTCATCTGAAAAAAATACCTGGGTAGGAGCCCAGACTGCTTAGTCACGAAAAGCAACCTAAGTAAAACACGTCTCTCTCTGGGAGCAGTTACTACGTCCGAAAAATGGGGTAATAAACTCTGCTCCGCCTTCCACGTAGGGCTTCCAACACTATAGCTCAACGGAGGAAATAAATGGAGTGCTTTACAAATGCAGATAGAGGGAAAGTCATCACCGAGCCTTAAGGCGCGGAGGGCAGGAAAGCTCGTGCTTCTCTGCTGTTGGCTTCCGCCTTCCTCACTGCAAATTCAGTCCCCGGCAGCGCGGGAAGCCTTTTAGGGTTCGGGATGTGGGACAGAGGAACGCTCCTAATAGCTCAGAACAGTGCCTGGCACTGAACAGGCGCTTGGTATATGTCCGCTGAAAGAGTCAATGAGTGGGACTACAGAGAACATCCTCATTTCCGAGGTTCCGGTGCGCCCTCCCCGAGACTGTTGCAGCCCGCGGGACGCCACACTCACCGGACTCCAAAGCTTCTTCGGGCTGGCCGCAAGCCTTCTGCTTCGGGAGCTCCGGGGAATGCAGCACCTCTAACCTAGACCAGCAGGGCTCCTTGTACAGCTACGAGCCGCAAGACAGGTCCAAAGCGTGCGACTCGCTAGAAACGGCAAGAAGGTGGAAGGAGAAAAGAAAATTTCGCGCCAATCGGGTGGCCCCGCCCCCAGGACGTCCCTTCGTTACGTCACCAACTAGCTCGCCCCTCCCCGCCCCGCCCACCTTAGGGAGGTGCATGACTTACATCCGGTAACGTGCAGCAGCCATCGTTGTTGATTCGATCGGCGACGCGGAGCACAGAAGGTCTTTCCGCTGCTGTGTTTCCGGTTTCAAGAGGGTCGCCTAATCTGTGTAGTGAAACTTCTTCCACCTTTCTCCATCCTCTAGGTGTTTTTTTTTTGAACCTGGATGTGACGCATTAAAAGACTCGACGGAAATAGAATCAAAGGCGTTCTAAAATGGCTAACCGTACAGTGAAGGATGCGCATAGCATCCATGGCACCAACCCTCAATATCTGGTGGAGAAGATCATTCGAACGCGAATCTATGAGTCCAAGTACTGGAAAGAGGAGTGCTTTGGACTTACGGGTAAGCGGAAGCGCGCAGAGCCCCTCTCGGCCGATTTGTGGCCCATTTCTTCTGACCGGGCGCCTGTAGGGCTAGCGACTGGCCTCTGGGGTGGTACTGGAACGGAGTATGTCGATCATTCAGAAAAATTCGAGTGCTTAGTCTTGTGTTGAGTCGGGGACACAGATGAATCTGATAAGGTCATATTCTGACGGGTGTCTTCAGTTGGGTTCTGTGAGTTGAGTGCTTAGTCTTGTGTTGAGTCGGGGACACAGATGAATCTGATAAGGTCATATTCTGACGGGTGTCTTCAGTTGGGTTCTGTGAGTTCTTATTTAATGATGGCCGGCTGGGTTGCAAAGTGTTAAGCTCAGGGATCCGAGTATAACTCTTTGTACACAGTGTACTGAAGGTTTTTAAGGACCTAACGTTGATATGCCTGAAACCAAATTCGTGATCTTACTATCCTTAGATTTGGGCCAGTTGCAGTATTTCCACTATCCTGTCCTAATAGAAACATCAGTGCTTCACAGAAGCCTTCCAGGTAGTCTTTTCGATGTGAATTCTGGCTTTAAACCCAAGTCACTTTACCTTTCTTAGCCCTCATTGTCCTTACCTGGAAAAAGAAACATTGCTACAGCTTTCTTCATAACTTGTTGTAAAAGTTGAGTGAGATAATATGAAAAGCTTAGCAGGGTACCTATTTTATTATCCATTCTCAATGCATGTTAGCTGCTGTTCTCATATTAAACTGTTGATGAGTATTTAGGAGAACCAAAGCTTGAACTAACTCTCCACTTCCTACTAGGAAGAGCTTAACTGTAATATGTCACTCTATTTATTTTTGTTTTTTAGCTGAACTTGTAGTTGATAAAGCCATGGAGTTAAGGTTTGTGGGTGGCGTCTATGGTGGCAACATAAAACCAACACCCTTTCTGTGTTTAACCTTGAAGATGCTTCAGATTCAACCTGAAAAGGATATCATTGTAGAGTTTATCAAAAATGAAGATTTCAAGTGAGTGCAATGTTCACTAGCTAATATAAGAGATTTAATTTTGGCTGTTCAAAATTGGGCTTTGGTTAAGAGGGGTGTACACAATGTATCTCATTTTTGCAGAGTTCCACTCCAGATTTTTCCTCTTGAGCCCTTGACTTTGTATTTTTTGTTTGTTTTTTTGTTTTCGAAACAGAGTCTCACTGTGTTGCCCAGCCTGGAGTGCAGTGGAGCTCTCTCGGCTCACTGCAACCTCCTCTTCCTTAGTGATTCTCCTCCCTCAGCCTTCCAAGTAGCTGGGATTACAGGCATGTGCCACCACACCTGGCTCATTTTTGTATTTTTAGTAGAAACAGGTTTCCCCATGTTGGCCAGGCTGGTCTCGAACTCCAGACCTCAGGTGACCTGCCTGCCTTGGCCCCCCAGAGTGCTAGGATAACAGGTATGAGCCACCACACTTGGCCAAGTTTGATTTTATCTGTTCTGATTGTATTAATCTTCTACTGTACTGGCTCAGTCTTGAGAATTTTTCCCCCGAAAAAATGATTTTACAAACTCACTAAGTATATATTAAGCAAAAGTGAGTGCCTAATATGTTGGTAGGCACTGGACATTCAGGAGTGAAAATAAAACAACAAAAGGTGATGGTTAAGAGGTGTTAGATCTGGGTTCACATCCAGATTCTGTTGCTCATTAACTGTGACACTGGAGAAGTTACTTAATTTTCTAAACTTTATTTTGCTTATCTAAAATGGTGACAGTAATGTAAGAGTGAGAGAAGGTCGTGCATGCATATCTCTGAGCACAGCACTTGCTACATGGTAAACACCTAAAAAATGTCAGCTTGGGGCCGGGCGCGGTGGCTCAAGCCTGTAATCCCAGCACTTTGGGAGGCCGAGGCGGGTGGATCACAAGGTCAAGAGATCGAGACCATCCTGGTCAACGTGGTGAAACCCCGTCT